GGAACGTTTTTTGGTTGCTTTCGCTCCAATGTGATCAGGCCACGGAGCGAATCGCGGATCAAGGCTGGCGTGCTTTTCAGGTCTCCTGTTGTTCCAGCATGCGTTCATGAGCGCACACACACACACACACACACACACACACACACACACACACACACACACACACACACACACACACACACACACACACACACACACACACACACACACACACACACACACACACACACACACGTACCATTGCGACTGGACAGAATAGAAGCCAGCCAAGCCCAAGCTGTCGCCAAAACCGGCTGGGTTTCGTTGCCCTCATCGCCGTCCTCATCGTTGCTTTGCTGTTGAGAACAAAAAATTCAAGGTAAGAACAATGGCTGCCATCGTCACAGGCTGTCAAAGCATGGCACCACTGCGGTGAAAAATTTCAAGCACATAAGGTCGGCAAAAGCAAAAAAAAAAACAACCACAAACAAAATGGCGCGCAACTGCCGAGACACCAGTAAGAGCAAAGTTTGCTCGCCCCTCACGACTCTCGCCACTCCCGCCACTCCCCGGCAGCACAGAACCAGTTCGTTCAGAGAGTTCATGGAGAAGACGAGAGGGGTACACTAAAACAGGTCTCGGTCCACTTACGGTTCTGACACGCTTGTCGACGTGACCTCCAGGAGAGTCCACTGCTTGACGCTTTGAAGAAGGCGAAGAAGATGTCACCAAGGCGGGCTTGGAACCAGCCGAACCCATCGCAAAAACTGAAAAAAAAAATTGATTGAACCGATTAGTCAAAGTGATTTTTGGTTGTCGGCATCGTGTCGTTTATGGCGTGTTTGCTTCTATTTTCCAGTTTCATCATGACGACGAAATTCGAAATGTTGAGATACAGTTGATGTTCGTGGACGTGTTTGTGTTTTTCTTTCGGTTCGTTGCGATTTGTGTTTTGTCAATTCAAATTCAAGCTCCCTTCAACTTCACCCCAATGTCACGTCACTCGCTTGCCTCGCTCTCAATCGTAGTGTCGCTCTAATGTGCAGGTCGACCAGTCGCACACAGCGGCGCCGGCGGATCAGGCGCCCACCACGTCAAGTTGGAAGCAGCTGGTCTCGCATTGCCGGAAGTCACGGAGCCGGACGTGCTTGACAACGACGAGGGCTGGTGGCACACTGCTACACGAAGTGCTGGCAGTGAAGAACACTAGCGAAGGCACCATGCTTCTGCTACGACGTCATGGCTGGTCAGACAACAACATCATCGCACCCTTCCTCACGACGAGTTGGACCAAGCTAACCGCCACAAGACCGCTGCTCACGGTGAAATGGGTCTCACACAGCGCAAAGAAAACCCTGCTTGCCAACGGCAGGTGGAAGCCCCAGGCAACCGATACGTACTTTGTCGGCTATGGGTTTGACGCGTGGATCGACCCGAGCGTGCTGATGCTTCATGGGCAAGGCCTCACACCACTGCCAGTCGTGCACAAGGATACAACACTCAAGGCCATCCGCAAGCGTTTGACAGCCACCCCCAAACCCTCGCGCGCACTGCTTGAGTGGGACA